GGGACAGAGTGAGTGGGGGTGGGGCTGGGAGGAGGGCTAGGAGGTGGCTGTACCCCCCCTATAGTCCTCCCTCCCAAAGCCACCCCCACCCGCCCTGCCACTGCCTGCCCCAAGTGCAGCCCTGGTCCTGAGCCCACAGCAGGCTGCCCACCTTTGCCCTACACATAAATCTGGGAGGCACCTGCCCCCCATGCTTCCCCCAGGGGTGCACACAGTGGTAGGGAGCTGCCCCCCCCCCTTGTGTGCCCCCCGAATGAGCTGCCTGCAGCTCCGCCTTGCTTCTGGTGGGGTCGCATGTACCACCCTGGCTGGGTAGCACCTACCCCTGCACCCCAGCCCCACTCCCTCCCTCACTGTGGAGGCCTCCATCTGTCCCCATGCACCCCCTGCCCTCCCACAGACTTACCATCCAGACACTGTTCTCCAAGCTGCCGGACTGTATATTGGCTATCAAATTGGTATCAACTGATATGGCTGGTTAATAATTGGCCATCAGTATCGGCCAAAATTTTTTTTATCGTTGCACCCCTAATACCTCCTATACCTAAAATGTTGGAGTTCTATTTTCAAACATTTGACTTGATAAGTGGAATTAATTTTAAGATAGAAATACTTCATTATATAGCTATTCTTCATGGTCTTTGGCCAAAATCTTAAAATCTTTATCAAGTTTTTATTTATTTGCACTAACATAAAACTCTAATTGAAGTCTGGGCAAAAGAACAAAGAACCAAATAAAAACTGAGGCCTGGATTGTAAATGTAAAATCTGGCCTGGTTAAGAAGCAGCGTGCAAGCTGTATTGTCCCAGAAGTAAAGCGGGGACTAAACTGTGAATCAGAATCATTATTTGGTTCCTGCACCCTACAAAGGGAAAACAATCTAGGTCAGTCTTATTCCAAACACAGACTACATATCCCTCTAGACCAGTTCAACTACTCTGGCTAGAGCTTTTGATAGGGCAGTTGCAGTCAAAGTCTCATCCAGTTCCCCATCCACTGCATGTGAGCTGGAATGGTAGTCCTGCAGAGGCTCTGTCCCTCTAATGCCTTAAAATGAGATGTGTGTAGCCTGCATCATAGAAAGGAAACCTCAGTTCTTCTTACTCCTTTATGTAGATATTGGGACATGCTACTCTCTCTCAACCTGTCTGCCACCTAACATTGTACAATACTGCATTTACACAAATCCAGAACAAGAGTTCAGTTTTTTTTATCTCAGTCAACATGGGGGATAAAAAGCCTTGTCTTACATTCAAGTATGGGCCCAGGGCAGGCAACACCTCAGCTCTAGCTTTGACTCCAGGCTTTGGGCTGAGGCTGCAGTTGAGCCACTGCCTGCCCTGGGCTGCAATAGCTTATTTAGAGTGGAAGGGGAAACCTGCAGCCTGCCCCGACCCCTTTGCCTGTGCCTGCCCTCCCACTCATGCCTATGCCTTCTTTTGTATTACTTGCCTGTTAGAACAAGTGTAGCTGACTCTTCAGAATGTAGTAGTTCAACTAAAATAGTAACACCTCTGGCAGACAAAGTAACCTGGTCTACATCCACTATAACTTTGGCTAACACAACAATCTGAAATCAAAAGAAGACACTGTTTTAAAACAATGTATGCTGCTTAAGTAGGTCTCTAACATTTCCATTGTTTTCCGACCTGTATTAGTCATAGAGACATTGTATATGGTGCTGTATGTTTACAGAACACTCTTAACTCTACCATATACCATTTTGTCCTGTACTAATAGGACCAATGGGTGAAAAAGGTATATTTACAAGACAAGGCTCTTTTCCCCAGTTAGCATGGGTGAAAAAGCCCCATTCACATATAAGGAAACCTCATTAAATCCATTGTCTAGTGTTAAAATGCTGCGAAAAGCAACATGTGTTCAGTAATGGAAACCAACTATGAAGCTGATTAAATGCAGCCAGCACTGAGCATGACTATAAAACATATGGGCCGCATTTGGCAAACATACTGATGGGAACCTTTTTTTTGTATGGTCCTTAAAAAACCATGAGGGTGTTCCACAGGGAAATGGTACCAGTCCAGGAGGTACTGCAATACCAGGTCAGCATCAGGAGGACCAGAGCCAATCCTGACACCCTCTAGGGCTGTGCGAAGCTTTGGTCCCTGATTTAATTTGGCAGAGATTCGGCTCGAGTCGGTGGCTGACTCTCTCAATCCAAATCGAATCAGAGGACCCTTTAATCACTCCAAATCAATTCAGAACCCTCTGAATCAATTCGGAGAGATTCGGACAGATTTGGCAATTCAGACGTAGAAACAACTTTAAATGTTTTTTCTACATACCTTTAGTTAGCAGGGCTTTGAGCGCTGTGGTGCTGGGGCAGACGCAGCATCCCACAGAAACACGGGGGGGCACCCCAGTGCTCTCAGCAGCAGACTCAGAAGTGGACCAGAAGCACTTCTGGTCCACTTCCTGGTCCACCGGGAGCACACAGGGGGGCTCCCCTGCGCCCCCCCAGCTCAGCGACTGGTGCCTCCTGGATCTGGCGGGGCACCCAGGGTCCCCCTGTGGCCGATTGCTGAGCCGGGGGTACATGGGGGGTGCCCCCAGCGTGCTTCCTGGCAGACCCGGAAATGGACAGGAAGTGCTTCTGGTCCACTTCTGGGTTCACTGCTGAACACACTGGAGAGCCCCCTGTGCTCCTGTGGGATACTCCATCCGCCCCAGCATCGTAGCGATCACGAGTCATGCCTGCTACCTCAAGGTATGTAGAAAAAACTTTTAAAGCTGTGCCTGTGTCCGAATCACTGATTCGCCAAATCTGCATCGAATCTTCAGATTCGGATTCGGACGGATCGAATCAGGGACAGTGATCCAAATTAATGGATCAAATCACTGTCCCTGATTCAGGCCAAATACGAATCTGAATTGAATGGGGCCCATTTTGCACAGCCCTAACACTCTCCCCTTGGTGTCAAAAATGCTACATTTGATCTTGGCCACAATTTATGCTACACAATTTATGGTGTGCAAAGATCTCAGTTACACAATTTAAAGTGATGGCGGATTGCTCTCACGCTTTCCCTCTAGTTTGCTCCCTCAGCCTTTTGGCTAGGGAACAGTGAGATTAGGGGGCATCTGAACAATAAGGCCTCCAGGCTTGGGGCTTGCACATAGGGTCCCTGTCATGGATTTGGGAGAATCTGAAGCCCTAGGATGAAGAGTCTGGGAGGTAGGATACTTGCCAATGGTAGCACCACACAGACTTGAATGATTGAGCTCTGAATTTGGAACTGATTTTGCCCAAGACACAAAATTAAAAAAAAAAAAGACATAGTTTGTACTATATCTTAGTAGGTACAAAAGTGCTGCTTAAATTATGTTTATGGAGCACCTGTGCTAAAACTTGCAACAGTTAGCAAAAATGGTAAAATGTATCAATTCTGGATGAATGAAGTCAACAGGTACCTGTAGTAATTTGCCTACATTCAAATTACTACAGATATGTTTATTTCAAAATCAGTGTTTTCAAATTTGCCCTTTTGTGTATGCTCAGGGAGAGCAGGCTCTGGCAATAAGAAAGGGGGGAAGGGACTGCAGGGGGAAGAAATTAGGGGGGAGAGGGCAAGGGAGCTACCTGACCCCCCCAAATGTATTTTCCTTGCTGTAGCAGTGGGAGGGGACAAATTAGATTCTACACCTATTGACTTTGATCTGAGTAAAGAGCTCAAATCTATAGCTAGTATGCTCTATTACTATGAAAAAACACCCTAGATTTGGACTATTCTTGAAATAACTAAGAATGAGGTTTACAGAGAACACTAGGATGCTTAGAAAAATGCTATGTAAATGTTACCATATTAAGCCAATTCAACTTCTGGTAAAAAGGTCCTATAAATACTGTTTGTATTTATTCTACCAATTGTGCTTATAAGATCATATGTAAAACCACCACCACTAATATTCATAACTTTTACAATTCATAAACTATTTGGTGTGCTGCAAGCACCATTCCTATACCTGAAATGCAGCCATTGCTTTCTCTGTCTCAACTTCTGACTGCAGAAAAGGTTCAAACATGGACAATGTAATTCCTCCAGTCTCCAATATCAAGAACTGCTGGACAGGATTGTTGTATGCAAAAAGCGCTAAGGCATATCCTGCTCGTAAACAAATGTCCTTAAAAATAAGAGAACCATGTAAACTCTTAGGGGTCCACATTATTAAGGAGGCAAGGATTTCTTAGGGTGATATCTTTTACTGGACCAATTGCATAGTTGGGATGGAGTTAGACCAGCTTTTGAATGCAAGACATTCTTCATCAAGTCTGGGTGGTTGGCTTAGGAAGAAGATGTCACTGTAGTCTGGCTTCCTTTTTTCTTTAGGTTGCATAATTTCCATTGTAAGTGGCAGATTTTGATATCTTTCACATTACAGTAGTGTTAGAGTGATGATGTAGCTGTGATGATTCAAGGATTATGTGAGAGGAAAGGATTTCTTAGGGTAATGACTTTTATTGGACCAACTGCATGGTTGGGATAGAGTTAAACAAGCTTTCAAATGCAAGACAATATCAAAAGCTTGTCTAACTCTATGCAGACTACACGGTTGTCCAATAAAAGATATCACCCTAAGAAATCCTTGCCTCTCGCACAATTTCTGGACTATCACAGCTACAACATCACTCTAACACTACCACATTATAGAAATAATACACACACTGTGTCTTCTTAGATATATTAAAATAGTTACCAATTACTCTGGTCCTACTTTTGTCTGTTTTTTTTTTTTTGATTTTCATATAAATACTTCAGGCTAAACCCTCAGTCTACAGAAGTGAGTAATCCTCACCACCTTGAGGAGAACAGGAAGAATATTCACATATTCCAGTGAATCCTGCTCACTCCTAACCAATATATTCAACATACTCTTTTGCTCTGTTTTAATAGTAGGGAAGGGATACCTCTCTGCTCCCTGAAACAGTAACCACAACTGATGATGCACAGTAATCTCCACAATTCCAGTGAAGGAGAATCTAGAGCAGTAGAGTGTGCATTGGAGAAAGGATCTCAAAGCTCAGTGACCAAGCTCTATGATAATCTGTTCAGGGAGTGTGAACATATCTCATAGATTCATAGATGTTAGGGTCGGAAGGGACCTCAATAGATCATCGAGTCCGACCCCCTGCATAGGCAGGAAAGAGGGCTGGGTCTAGATGACCCCAGCTAGATGCATATCCAACCTCCTCTTGAAGACCGCCAGGGTAGGGGAGAACACCACCTCCCCGTTCCAGACCTTGGCCACTCTAACTGTGAAGAAGGTTCTTCCTAATGTCCAGTCTAAATCTGCTCTCTGCTAGCTTGTGGCCATTATTTCTTGTAATGGCCATTATTTCTTGTAACTCCTTGTAACTCTTGTAACTCCTTGTATCTCCTCCATCACCCTTACATACCACAACTTTTCTCATGATTTATCAGCACTAAGCAGTACTAAAGACTATCATGAACATTTTAAATTTCAGACTATGTCCAAATCTAAGGGAAGCATATATATTTTGTGCAATTATGTTAAAATAGACTAAAAGCAATATAAAATATAAAACAAACTTTTGATTGGGGCTACAGTGTAGTAAACTTGGTATGACATACTTAGCTTATAGTGATGCTATGACATAAATGTAGACCGTTTTCTTCTAAATTAATACTGCCAGTTTACTAATAGCAATACCTTATCAGGTGCATAAAGAAGTTCAAGAACATCAGTGTAACTGAAACCCTCCTTCTCTTGTAACACTGCCTGTAGTTTACTGTTCTTTAAAACAATGCAAGCCAAGGAATATGCAACTTCAACCTAAACATTATTTTAAAGAAAAATGCAGATATTATATACTTACTTTTACTTGCAGAACAAATTAATGGCATGTAGTACTGAATAAACAATCAATCATTTCAGAGCAGAAAAAGAAGTGTGTAAGTTTAGACTAATATAGGAAACAATACTAATACTTCAAGGAAATAATATATAATTATAGCTAAATAACACACAAAATAAAGAGCACTATCAATTTAATCAGATGTGCAATATATTAATCATATATCCCTTCTTGGGAAAGCTGAACAAGTGACATGAAGGAGCTATAGTTTTACCCTCCCCCATAAGAGCAAAGAACATTCCAGCAAACTGAAGGACAACAAATTTAAATACAAAAAAAAGCACTGGTATATTCAGAAATCTTGGCAGAGGTGATATCTTTTATTAGACAAACTAGTTGCAAAAAAATTTCTTTATTTGCAACTATTTAGTTGATCTAATAAAAGATAACACCTCTGCCAAGAGTTCTGAACATTTTTGCCTGTAGACCAACACAGCTAAAACCTGTATCCCTAAAAAACCCCACTAGAGCATGCCTCCTTGCTCAGGAAAATACATATTTTGCATGTGAAATTTGTTGCTACAAGAATGTAGTAGCTTTCAAAAAAGGAATAGGTATTTATATTGATAATAAAAACATCCGCAGTTGCAACAGTTAGCATTTATACAATATATACTTTAAAAGAAAAACACTTAGGAATAAACTTATTTGATGGGTCATTGTTCTCAAGGGCCTTTACAGAGTTTTGTCCATCTCCCTTGGAAGAACCTGGTACCAAAAATTGTTAGAAATAGGGCCTTGAACTAAACAGACCTTTGTTATTAGTCAGTATATAGTAAACTCACATCATGATCTACTTGTGCCCTGTAGTATGAGAACTCATAGCCTTTGCAACTTACTCAGCACAGGGAAATACACGATGAGCTCCTGCAGGTAGCCACAGTGTGGTTAGCACCAACCAGCAGTCGGCATCCCTCCACCAATGCTGTCAGTCGCCAGGGGGGAGTGGCGAGCAGTGACTGCCTGCAGGAGCCATCAGCAGTGTCGATGGCACCTTTTTGCAGGGGGTGCACCGCCAAGCTCAGGGAGTGCACGTGCACCTGCATGCACCCCCTACACATTGCCAATGAGTGCATGAAAAGAATACAATATACCAGTACTATCCTGTCATTTTTACATTACGCACAAATATAAGGAGCATTATGAAGTTTCATGCACAGGAATAACTAAATCCTCTAGAAAATAATGTATAAGAGGGAAATGTGCAAATAGAACCAGTGTACCCCTTTTTAAGATTCTAAATTAATCTTATAATTGCCTCCATACAATTAAAAATAACTGCGAGTAACTTCATAGACATGTTTTGTAATTGTTTTTCAGTAGCTGGCTTTTGAGATATCTTATTATGTATTTTGGGGTTTTTTGTCTACCTTCTGAATCAACAGCCTAAAGATGGCCATGAAGAGTTCTCAGAAAATTCAGTCATAATTAATACTCTGTATCAAACACCCATGCCCACACACCCACCCATATTATTGTGCACCTTTATCTGAAGAGAATTATGATGTTTAAGCAGATTCACCAGTATTGGTAACGCTTGTTCCTCCACTATGTTCTCTTGGCTGATTGGATTGTTTATATGAGCCACACCTGTAAAAGTCCACATGACAGATACATATCCTATGTAAATTATTTGTGAAAGATAGAAAATAAACAATTACCCAATATATATACATAGTAGAAGCAGATTGAATAAGAGTATTTGTAATATACACTTTACTCCTGACAAAAATGGTGGCATGGCACAATGCAGCTAAAGGAATTAACTTGGGTCCTGAAAACAATACAGATGTATCAGCATATTATCTTGCCTAAGCTAATATACCCTGTTCAGCACTGAATTGTGCAGGTGTGCCCTTAGAACTCAAACTGTAAAAGTTAGAGCTAGTGCTCGTTCATAAACCTTTTTTCTCAGATTCAGTCTTGGAGACTGTAGAATCAGCAGTTAAAGGTAGGCCACTTAAGGTTATTTCTATTTCGGGTGCATCTATATGGCTCCTTAGGAACTAGATCAGGTACCAGAAGCAGTGTGGGATTCTACCCTGGCCAATTAGTCCTGCTGAGAAGCAGGATTTATAACTGTAGCAGAGCACCTGCTAACATGGTTATCTTGTTAGCAGAACCTAAGCTAACTAAGGCACATGCACTGTACTGTGCTGTGCCATGGAAACCACTTGGAAACAAACTAAGGGTCCACCCTAGGTTTTCAGTGGAGGCCAACCTTTTTGGCATGTGTGCCACAAACTAGGCCCAATGCCTTCTCCAACTGGCACTCTGATATTCTTCCTCTGCTGCTCAGCTTTCTGGACAGGGAAAATGAGGCAGGGAACAATCTGCCGTTCTGCTTTCTGCTTCCAACCTTATCTGCTACTGTGCCTGCCCCACTTTGATCTGCTGCGTGCCACAGACATTGACTACCTGTGCCACGTGTGTGGCAGGTCAGCTGACCCTAGTCTAAACCACAGTCCTGACCAAAACTATATAACATGGCATATAATATCATATCATATAAAAGTATCACAAGATATTTTTCCTTAGACTATCTGAAATATGAAAAAGAACTAAACAGAAATATCTGTCTTTTTTAACATATCTTAAGGAGATGGGCTTACTATAAAATATATATTTTTTACAACTCCCCAAATAAAAGTCTGACTTGGATCCCAGAGTTTTTATTATAATTTTTAATATGATAAAATGAATAAGGATAATAAGTAAAGAAATACAGGAAAAACATGACAAATTAGGAGCTCATGGAGAAGCAGAGAAACTGATTAGCAGCTGATGAGCCCCTCCTATGGCTCAACTATAACACTGGAAGGAATTTTGTAAGTGGCATGCTAGGGTTCAAACTGTGCTTATTGTGTCAAAATTCTTTAGCATATACAAAGTATGACCAAAGTAAGTGTCTCATATGGTATTAAAGATTTCTTAATGACATTTTGGTTCGATACTACAGTAGATATCAATACTAAAGAAAATATACTCTTTATTCATTGATAGTTTCAAACAGGTTTAGTTTTTTTTCCATGAAAAACCTCTTTTCTCTTAAAGCAATATAACAGATTATACAAACCAATACAAATGGTCCCCAAGGCTCTAATGACACTCAAGAGCGTGCCTTCTGCAATTTTTGAGCTTCTCAACAATCGAACCAGAGGGCCAATTCCATTCCCTTCACATATTTGATTTTGATGAAGTCTGCTGTCTTTGCTAAGAGCTATGACTGCTTCACCTCCTTCCAAAACAAAAAAAAAGTATGTTTAAAAAATCCATTTACCTGTCTAATATTTTGCAGAAGCACACAACACACTCACACAGCTTACCAACAAACTGCATTTTATCAGATGGTGACAAAAGCATATCAATAATGAAGTTGTACCCAATCTGTTCTGCCATGAACTTTTGCTGCTTCAGTGTTTGTCCTGCCAATGACCACAAAGCTGTAGCACCTTGTTCTTTAACTTTCAAGTGAAATGCCTGCATATTTGAGGGGAAAAAAACCCAAATAACTATACCTTTGCTAGAAGAATTTTAAGGCTGACATGTCTAAAAAAAATATTTAGTCTATGAAATTAAGAGTTGTTTAATGATTCGAACTACACCGTGTTCATGGATAAACTGATGTAACACTTTAATAAAATAAAAATGAAAAATAAATCCTTGCCTTTAAGAGCTTCAAAAGATACTTTGTTACTGATTTTGCCAGAAACTCCTTCTGTATATAAACATTGTTGTTAGCTAGTGCCTCGATGGCCATAGCACCTTTCACCTGCACGCTTAATTTCCTTTCACGGAGAAGATCAATTAGAAGACCAACTGCATCTGCATTTGCAATGGCCTCCTGCATCTGTATATTCCCCCGAGCAAGTTCTGCAATAGCTGCTGAAGATACAGCCTGTAGCACATCTTTAAAAGCAAGACAAGTTTAGTCATAGGATTTTAAGAACAAATAAAGACTTACCTTAGACTAACCTTTGCAGGTTAGTCTAAGCTGCAAAGATTGAACCAATAAGCAAATGAAGAGACATGCACTTTTGTTTCAGGAAATGCAGCCACATGCCTACAGTGGCTCAAGCCAGAAGCCAGGGGGTGCTACAGCATGGCTGTCTGGAATGTAGCCAGCATGGGCTGTGTGTTCAATTCCTTATCCTGATGCCTCCGAGGTCTCTGGGATTTGCAGTCCACAATCACAGCAGTAGAGCTCTGCAGCCCAGCCCAGCGGTGACACGTAGGGGGTGCATGGAGGTGCACGTGCACCCCCTCACAGCCAGCATTCCTGGGCAAGGGGGACAGGCAAGAGCACTGGTGCCCCGCCCTGAGAGTGCTGGCTGGGGAGTGGGGGCACCAGGAGAAGTGGTCCCTCCCATGGCCAATCATGCTGACCCGGAAGTGCCAGTGGCACACCTGGAAGTGGCGATCGGTGCCACTTGCGGGTTGGCAGGGGGCCCTTCCCCTGGTTGGCAGGATCGGCTGCAGGGGGAC